TACAGTGTAAAAGGCAAAAACTGACTTGAAAATGTCCTTGCCAACTTGTGCATGCCAACTGAAGAGCATGCGTACAAAGTTTGTGTGCTCGTATAAACCTGTAATTAAGTCAACACTGTTTATTAAAATGTGCACTATGTGCACATATGAGCAACTGCTTTGTGATGCATTACAGAAACTATTTCATTCGTTATATATGATTTATACATGAAAAAAATCCTGCAGTTTATATTGTCATTTATCAGGCAGTGCATTTTGTCACATACAGTAATGATAGATTTGAAATAGAAAATATTTTCATTTCTGTCATCATCATTTGTACCACAGAATGCTATCACAATACATGGTTTTAGATGTGGCTGAAATGACTCTGTGGTAAGAAGAAGAAAAGCATGACAACATTGATGATCCATAAATATAGTTCACAAACATTGTTGTCATTGGACTTTGTTGGTGGAAAATTTCAAATAATGTGTGAAGGTTGTTGTTGTTACAATAAGTATAAAATCATCCATAAAAAGAACAACATTGATTTCATTATGCCTCAGGGATTGTGCTGGCATCATAATGAAAGATCTAAGGCAGTTCCCAGAATCCCAGGAGATCTGATCCAAGCTTTTACTAAGAGAACACCAACCCCATGAATCAATCCTAATATGTTGGTTTGCATGTCAAATTCATTCATCTCTAATTCAGCCTCCCATTTTCGTACCTTATACACTTCAAATTCAATTCCTTGCCAGATGCATCTTGTTTTTCTCTGGTCTTTTCAGCCAGGCAGCCAGACCTCATTCCCTTCCTGATATTGTTTCAGAATCAACACCATTTCATCTCCATTCTGTCACCCCTCCAGCTGTTGAGTGTAATTGATTAAACGCATCTATCCTCTCCCCACTGTGTGTTTCAGATCTGACTCTCGCTCTCCCTCTCTCTGTTTGGTCTGGGTGTCTGCAGATGAATAATAATGTTTTGCCAACCTTTCTCTCAGGCTGGTGATGTACATTGAAAGAGACGTCCGAAAGGCCACGCCAGGAAAGGAGCAACAAAGCGGCAATGAATACCTGTCAAAATGCCTGACCCTCTTCATCCGTCACACCGTGCATGAACTGCCAGCCATCCTGGGTAAATCAATCACAATACACCCAAAAAAAGAAGGAAAAGGGAACGCAAAGAATTCACTTGAGAAGGAACAGAGTGAAATGGGCAAAACGAAGCAGGGGCAATGAGAACGAACATTGAATTTGATTGGCCTCTCTTTAATTATCTTTCTGATTGAATACGTGAGCAGGCTCTCAGGTATCGACCTGTTCCTCTTTTTTCATTTGTGAATCAGTGCCGCTACACACCAGTGCTACCCCATGAAACTGGTTCAAACCGGTTCAGTTCTTCCTGTGGGTTTCGTCCCAACACAGAGATGCACCTGCTCACGCCCCGGGCCACCTACCCAGACTGATCATAACGGTTTGTTTTGTGATTGGCTGATTTCTCACTGCTTCTGTTTATGTGGGCTTTCTGTAGATGACATCCTGTCCGTGTTAGGCAGCATTGTGGGAAGGAAGCACCCCTCTCCTACGCAGTCCCGTCAGCTGAAGCAGAGCCTCCCCATGATGGCTGTGGTGCTGCATCTGCTCACCTCACAGGTGTGTGCCAGTGTCAGGTCTTGCTATATTTACCTTTTTGCTAGTTATTTTGGGTTTTCGTTTTCCACAAGGATGGTACAACCTGGAAAAAGAAAAATTTTAAATGTGGGGACCTAGCTTGTGGTGCAATAGATAACTTATTTCACAAGCAATTTTTTGTGAATGTGCAAGACTTTAATTAGCCACTACAGGTAAATAACTAGAAAAATAACAATGCAATAAAAGGTCAAACTAATTGTGCTACAAGCCATTGTGTTTATGATTATGATAATAAATTTAATTAATTTTAAAATAAATACCAGTTTATTATATTAAGCAGCATAACAAGCTGTTTTGGGCTGCTAAAAATAACTGGCAGCGAATGACACTGGAAGCCTCGAACATTCAAGTTACAAATGGATACACACAATATTATATTAAAGATAAAGTGGATAGCAGTGATTCGCAGTCTGTTCAGGCAAAGTACCCTTTATGTCAGATCAGAACATCCACCTGGAACATCCAAATACCACTTGGTCACAGTGTTCCTTCCAGGATCCAAAAACGCCACCAAAATAAACAAAAAT